GGATAAGAGTTAATGAAAAGTACTTTAGTAACCTGTGCTTCGCCGATGACATTGCATTGCTGAGTAACTCAAGGGACGAACTTGCAACTCATCATTTCGGAGTTAGACAAGGAGAGCAGAAAGGTGGGTCTTAAGATTAATCTGCAGAAAACGAAAGTAATGTACAACAACCTCGGAAAAGAGCAGCGCTTCGAGATAGGTAATAGTGCATTTCAAGTTGTAAAAGATTGATTGATTGATTGATTGATAAGTGGGGTTTAACGTCCTAAAACCGCAATATAATTATGAGAGAAGCCGTAGTGGATGGCTCCGGAAATTTCGACCACCTCGGGTTTTTTAACGTGCACGCAAATCTGAGCACACAGGCCTACAACATTTCCGCCTCCACCGGAAATGCAGCCGCCGCATCCGGGAAGTTGTAAAAGACTGTCTACTTAGGGCAGGTAATAACCGCGGAGCCGAAGCACGAGATTGAAGTAACTAGAAGAATAAGACTGGGGTGGAGCACATTTGGCAAGCACTCTCAAATTATGGCATGTAGATTACCACTATCCCTCAAAAGGAAGGTATATAACAGCTGTATCTTGCCGGTACTTAGCTACAGAGCAGAAACATTGGAAACTTACAAAAAGGGTTTCGCTTAAATCTAGGACGACGCAGCTAGCAATAAAAAGAAAAATGGTAGGTGTAACCTTAAGAGACAAGAAGAGAGCAGAGTAGATTAGGGAACAAACGGGGGTTAAGGATATCACAGCTGAAATTAAGAAGAAGAAATGGACATGGGCCGGGCATGTAGCGCATTGACAGGATAACCGCTGATCATTAGGGGAACTAACTGGAATTACCAGAGAAGGCAAGCGGTTAGGGGGAGACTGTCACACACAGGTCCCGTTAATTAGGGAGGCGATCGCCGGGCCAATTCCAAGGGCCGAAGTATCGGCCCCCCGAACCGCACCACTAAAGCGTGGACAATTTAGAAGTGGTCCTTTTCGGCGCGCCAGCGGACGCCGGCTGTGGCCCAAAGAACAAGTCAGAGCCGAGAGTTGATAAACAAACAAAACTATATTCTCAATAATGGAAAATCAAAAACAATACACAAGAATGCACACTCCACAATAGTTGCATACAATAGGTCACCAAACAAACGACGTACTACACAGTACAATCAGCCACACTCGAAACAACGGACACAGACAACAATACGCACTACAATGCAGTCAGCATGCATTGAACAACCAAGACACTTAAAGACTAAAGAGATAGAAAAGCTATTCAGTCCAAAGTTTTCGGAACGAAAGTCTGAATGATACTCTTCCGAGAATCACTCACTCAAAGTCCAGCGTTGTTGCCGTTCCGCTGCCCCTCGAAGTTTCTCTTCCAGGGAACCTCGCCGAAGTTTCTCTTCCAGGAAACCTCGCGTCTTCGATTGGCCACTCTCCAAGCTTCAAACTTCTTCGCCGGAAACACGTCGGCTTCACACACGCAGCCGTTGCCACGCGTCTTCGCTCGATAGCGGTAAACACACACTCTTGCCCGTAGCTCGAGTCGTCACCCCTCAGGTGGAAATGATCTTCTTCTCCTGCTTTGTCTCCACGGACAAAACCTTCGCCGACTACACGGCGGAATCTCTACGCGCTCTTGCGCTAACTTCCGTCTTCTCCTCGTCTTTCGTCTCGGCTGCTCGATTAAATACCTTCCGCGCGAGATTCCAGAAGGCTCTCGTCATTTCGTCGGCGCGATACGCAGCGAAGGCTGGGGGGAAGGCGCGAGACTCTACGAGGGCCGTCCCTGACAGATGACTCAACCCGGCATAACACGCCCCTTTCCATCTAGAAATTTCCAGTGCTTGCTCGGGCCGCCGTTGTGGGGTGAGGAGGTTTGTCGGCGAAGCCACGCTTCCGAGAGGAGAGGCTCGCGCGCCCGGGAAGCCTTTAGATGTTTGTTTTCTTTTTCTTTCTTTTTCGTTGACCTCGCGGCGTCACTCCGGCGGTTCGTCGCGAGAATTTGAAGGCGCGCCCCTTTTGAGCGCTCGTTCTGTGACAGAGACAGAAGTTTAGGTGGGCAGAGGATATTAAGATGTTTGCGGGTATAAATTGGCAGCAGCAAGCACAAGACCGGGTTAACTGGCGGAACATGGGAGAGGCCTTTCTCCTGCAGTGGACGTAGTCAGGCTGATGATGATGATGATGATGATGATGATGATTATGATGAGTATGATCATGCGCCTAATCGTGTTCATTGTGTTCATTTAAGTTGAATTACAGTATTATTGCGCTATTTCGGTTTCACCATCTGCTTGGTTAGTGGGGCTGCGGTTCACGCAATAGCGCGTAAGCCAGTTATATTATAACCTGGACTTTTTCGCCCCTTCTGGTTGCGCCCGTGATGGGGACAAAGGGGCCAGTGTTGGCTCGTATTGGCCCAATGGCAAACTATCCTTGCAGCACGGAGAAGCTCGTTCCTCGACAACTTCATTGAGCGCCTGTCTTGGTCCGCGTGCCGCAACGTGTCTGATTTTCGCACAGCCGGATGAATTTACTGCTATCGCATCTCCCCCCCCCCCCCAAAAAAAAAGTTCGGAAAAATGAGAAGTAGTATTTTTAGTATTGTTATTTTTTGGGCGTGTTGGTAAATGGAACTTGACGACTATTGAGCGCTAAGAGACAGGGACATAATCGAGAGGACAACTCAATGCACTAACTTCAACAATTATTTATTTCCAGGAAACGCTAACGTATATGTCCCTGCACAGTGGCGCCACCAGTCTATTCAATAGCTGAGCAGAAAAGGCCTTTCCCGATCTAAAAGGTCAACTGGCGGTGCACTTACATAAGTGTCACCGTTGCGAGTTTGGTCATTTGGCCTCAGGCCTTGTGTCAGTACTTTGCATGGAATGCGATTGCATACCCATGTACGAACATTGTAGTGTACAGGCGAGGGATAAAGATAAAGACGTTCGAGACATAATTGAAGCCGAGGCTGTTTTTCGCAAAACGAACACATGTGTAAGTGCACCGTCAGTTGACCTTTTTGATCGGGAAAGGGCTTGTCTGCTTGGCTAGAGGATAGACTGGTTGTGCACACTGTGTACGGATACATACGTTGGCGTTTACTGAAAATAAAGAATTGTTGAAGTTAGCGCCTTGTGTTGTCCTCTCTCTGGTGTCACTGTCTTTTATAGTTACATATGTCCTCAAGTACCTATTTTCAGTTTTTTGTACACATATCTTGAATCCAGTATAAAAGTTTTCCCCCAAGGAATAGGCGAAATACGACAAATTCTCAAAGTGCCAAATCGCCAAATTGACGCGGCAGAATGCATGGTTTTACGACCGCTCTGGCTGTTTAGCTGTTCCTTCGTTTTTCTTGAGTTAAGGCACTATGAGCTTGACGTGCAGCGAAGGAGTATTCAGAAGTCACTTTACTAAGAAGAAAACAGGATCACTTCAAAATAAAACAGCGAGCGTAATAAATTTTTGTTTCCTTAAGGTCACATTGTGCTTGCCTTTTTTTGTGAGATGATCGCCAAAGTGGAAGCAAGCTATATTATACACATCAATTAGAAGCTCTGCGATTTGCATTTTTAGTGAACTAAGCTATTATAATTGATTCCTGAAAGCCGAATACGTGAAATAGTAAAATTGAAGTGGTAATTGTACAGATTAGCAAACATTATTCTGAAAATACGCCAACGTTTGAATATTACTATACAATATTTGAGGTTTAACGTCCTGAAATCAAGATATTATAATGAAATACTCCGCAGCGGCGGGCTTCTGAACATTTGGCCATCTGGTGTTCTTCAACTTGTACTGACATCACAAAGTACATGAAGTGTACCTCCTTGCCCCCATTCAAACGAGACCACCGTGGCTGGAATCGAACCCGCGACCTTCGATTGAGCAGCCGGGCACCCTAACTGCTACCTTCCGTCCCGAAGTACAAGGTAGAAGTTTCCAACAAACCTAAATTGCAGAGATGTGTGCCGTAACAGTGCAGCGGCTACAGTGCTCGACAGCAAGTCCGAAAGTCGCGGGCTTCGATCACTGCAACTGCGGTCACAATTATATGATGGCGACCGGCTTGAGGTCTGTGCTTGGTGCGATGTCAGAACACGTTAAAGAACATCCATTGGTCGAACTTTTTGGAGGCCTGCGCTTAGTTGTGCCTCGTAAAGATATCGCGGGTTTCGTACGTAAACACCCAGCCATTAATATTTATTGAAAGTATAAGGGTGATGTGCATGATTAGCTGCTCAATTACCACCTCCTTGGTTAAAGTCGTGCTGGACTAAATTAGCCATGGACAAATCGTCGGTGAGTATAACTGGCTAATTCGTTATGTCAAAATGCAAACTTTTTCAATCACGTCCACAACGAGCAATCACGTATCAGTGTTCGCCAAAAAAAGAAAAAGTGGTAATATGTTTAGTTTTACTGACCAAACTGATACTCCTGATGACGTAATCTGTACTTGTAAACAGCACCACGGGTGTGGCAAACAAACAAACTTGTGTGAATCATTACTTGACATGCCACATTGCCACAGTGATGAAGGTTATCTACACAAGGAGCCTGTATTATTCACAAATATATCATTAACGTGTCACTGGGCCGAAACGGCTATCCATGAATTTTTATAGTAAATAAATGCGTAGTGTTAAACCCAACCGCCTTTCACTTTAGGGCCACAGAAAAATAAACCTGACGTTCTCGACACCAGAAAAACTATAGCTTTATTTGAATCACATATGCCTGATCAAAACTACTGCAAAAATGGCTGCCTAACCTGATAAAATCTATTATACAACATGAAGAGATTTTCAACTAAAAGTATCACCAGTACTAACGTAAGGGTTTTGTGTTCGTGAATATTGCGAGTTCATCGTCAGCACGGTGCAATGTCAGTGTTGTTGCCTCGCGACTCCTTTCTCAATTCTATAGTTCAACGGCATCATTTTTTCTGTCGATTGAGTGAAGGAATATTATAGAGAAAGCAGGTACTGTGCAAGACTTTTATTATCCCATATTCAACATACTTCAGTGCAGGCTTCAAGTCTGGTTCACTATCGAGGAGTTCTGCGGAAGGGCTCAGAAGAGCGCCATTTCTGTAAAAAGAAAACATAATGGTGCATGTTTGTGAAAACTTCAGAAATCAAAGTCACCTACTAAATCTTTCATAGAAGTAAGGGGAACTTACACTTCTTTTTGCGCAGAAGGGTGGCGTAACTCAGAGGAGAGCCAAGACCATAGCCGTAGTTCAGGCCGTAGCCGAGGAGACCGTGGCCATAACCATAGTGACCGGCACCATAGCCCAGAGAACCGACTCCGTAACCATAGTAGAGTGGGACAGAGTGGGCCACATCGTAGGTAGCGACGGCTGGAACAGAGTGGGCCACACCGTAGGTAGCGACAGCGGGAGCAGCGTGGACAGCAGCCACAGCTGGGGCCGCATGGACGGCAGCAAGAGCTGGCGCAGCGTGAACGGTAGTTACAGCAGGAGCAGCGTGGACAGTGGTCACAGCTGGGGTAGCAGCATAGGTGGCGACAGCTGGGGCAGCAGCAACAACCTGAGCGGACTGCTGGACAACCCTGGTTACAGCTGGGGCGGCAGCGTAGTTGACAGCTGGTGCCGAGGCATAAGTGGCTACAGTTGGGGCAGCGTGGACAGCAGTCACGGCTGGAGCAGCTTGCACAGCAGCTACGGCTGGTGCGGCGTGCACAGCGGTCACAGCTGGGGCGGCATGGTAGGTGGAGACAGTGCGGGTGACGGCTGGGGCAGCGACAGCATAGCTTGCGGCTGGCGCATAACTGTATCCGTAGCCGGCATAAGTGGTGGCAGTTGGGGCAGCGTGGACAGCGGTCACGGCTGGAGCGGCTTGCACAGCAGCAACGGCTGGAGCAGCTTGCACAGCAGCAACGGCTGGAGCAGCGTGCACAGCAGCAACAGCTGGGGCAGCGTGCACAGCGGTCACAGCGGGAGTGGCGTGGTAGGTGGAGACGGTACGGGTGACGGCTGGGGCAGCGACAGCATAGCTGGCGGCTGGCGTGTAGCCGTATCCGTAGCCGGCACCGTAGCCAGTAAGACCGGAATATCCAACGCCATGGGAAAGCCCGTAGTGTGAGAGACCAAGACCACCGTATCCAAGACCGGCATAACCAAGGCTACCATAGCCAAGGCCATAACCGAGGTTATTGGGGAGGGTGTAGCCTCCAGCAAGGTGGCCAACGTGACCAGCAAGAGCGCTGGTGGTCATGGCGAGGATGATGCAGGCGTGCAGCTGAAAGGAAAAGTAAATTTGTTTCTGATTTTAAAAAAATATCATCTATGTTACGCCTTAAAAGTGTTCACTCTTTCGTGGATTTTTAATAACGGTGCCGAAATATTTCAGTTGTGTAATGTGCTCATCTTTTTGATTTCAAAGACTATGTAAAGGGCGACACCAAATGACAAGAACAATGAAGACGCTGTTCATAGTCTGTGCCTATTGTCGTTGCCTTCTAGGTGTTCTGGTAAGAGAGAAGTGGCCCCAGCATCGTCGTTTTAGTTTACCGAGCTTTCTTATGTGTAACAAAAGAACACTCGCAACCAAATTCTCCTGCATAATTCTTGATTCGACAAAAAACGTTTTGTTCCATGCACTAACCTTTTCTGACCCTGTACTTTGACGGTACCCTTGCCACTTGTTCAAGGATACACTAACTGGCTCACGCAAAGGCAATCTTGGCTTCATCTATTTGGAGTCTCAGCATATTGTGGCTACGCTAATAGATGGGACCTCCCTTTTCTATGTTTTTATGAAGCCTACATAGATTTACTATGAACCTAATTTTCCTTGGTGGTGAAGAGTACGTCCACGGTTATGAAGTGAACCAATTTTTACATCAGACAGGCAGTTGTTTTATGATACTAGCGGATATTTATTCTCGCGGAATCAAATAGAGGTTTTCAAATGCATAGAGCAGTTATTCATTGACTTACCATGGTGGTGGTTCTGGTCTCTTAGAGGAGCAGAGGCTTCGGGTCTAGGGTCCGTGATGAATGGTCTTATATACCTGGTGTTTGGTCTTACGATTTCGCAAAACAGCCATAACACCAGGCGAGGAGAATGTCAAGAATATTTTTATTTCTTCGGTAACTTACTCTTACACAGCTAATGTACAAGCATGCATTAGCTGCATTGGTAATATTCAGAACATTATTTCCTTGCTCTATACTGTAGAGAAATTTTTATTTGTTTGATTCTGTATCCAGTGCTTGCTCTCGCTTGCAAGACGTGAGCAAGGCAAGGACAGCGATGAAATTGTGTAAGATTGAATATACAGCTGGGACTGCTACAGCAAATACCATGATGAGAAGTGAAAGCGCTACGTGGCGATTCGTTTTCAAGCTCTGAAAAACCACATACTTGAGTAAACCAATTTAGTAGAACAAACACGTTCCACGTTATATTTTTTGTTTCACGTGCTTGGACAAGGCCACCCAGAAACTGGTATTGCGACCGATATTTCGACACGTCAACATATTTTTGCGAGAAGGATGATTGAGTGGAGGAAAGTTAGGTTAGTTTCTTTTCGTGCATTGAAAACCGGGCGGCCTTTTGGAATCCTTGAGTAACTTGCTTATCAATGGTAAGCAGACAGTATTTTAAAGAGAATATATTGAAGAGAACAAACATGGTGCCTAAAAAATGTTTTTTCAACGGCAATGTATAGCAAAGATCAACCTTGAGACATAACAAAACACTCGTCAAAAAATAGGCGTGTGCAAAGAAAAAAATTGAAAGGGGGCTGTCGCTCCTTTTTATATATCGAAGAGGGGGATAGCTCAAAATGTGTCCCATACAGTGGCTTAGTAGGAGGGGGAGGCGCTGAGCTGAGGCTTCGCCCTACTTATGGGTAATCCTGCGCATGACTATGAATCCAAATGTGGGTATACAGTTCCAGCCACGGCTCTACAATACTGTAAATTATCTTCCTTATCTTCAGATGTACCTCTTGGAATATTTTCACATAAGCATCGAATTGCGTGAATTGGAAAGGAGAGCAAATGTAAGGCAAGCTTACACAAGAAACGCAGTGTTGTCCTGTGGAAACCTTCTCTTGCCTCCTGGGCGCTCTTCTGATTAAATCATTGTATGACCAAGCACATCTGTAAAACTATCTGACAGCTGAATATATTTACAATGGTCAGCTAAATGACCAGGGTATGGAGGCGCGAACTGACAAATTGTTCTCTTTCAACAAGCCATTGGCTGGCAAGTTCATTGTAACAGCATGCAACTTATGCAATGTTTGTTGTAAGTAAAGGCAAGTCCTCATTGAGCAATACGGCTCTTCGTGTTGTTAGACTTGCTTTTCGCACGTTCACTGTCGGCCTCCCAGCAAAGATCGGATAAGTTGCCGAAGTCACTGTTCGTAACAATTTTTCCAGTTACTGTAGTCTGCGGAACACGTCCCGCAAGCAGGTGGCTGTTGTAGAGCTTTAATAAGGCTTGTTTGGCTGGGTATACTTTGGTCTTCCATTGCTCGCTTCGTGAAAGAAATAAATGCTGTGCATAAGGTGAAGAAGTGCCTTCGAAGCTTCTTGCTGAAGTTGATATTGCATTTTCTTGCTTAGTTAAAATGCATCTTTTTGTGGCGCGACCATAACGTCTAGTTTGTTTTGGCCCAAATTTGCTATTTTTCTTGTAATTTGACTTGTGAAGAAATGTTCATTACCTGTATATTATTTTCAGTGTTTTACGGCATGAAAATTACTTGGTGCTGTCGTTATTATGTCATATTTTTTCATATACATTGCATATGCGATTGTGGTTGCGTTAAACCCAGGCTAGGCATGAAGTCAGGATGGATGAATATATTCAACAGTGCGACACAGCAAGAGGCACATAGCACAAGACGTAAAGTTAACAATCAAAAGCATGTTGTCAAGAAGTGGCATTGGATAACGATACCATGAATGCTATATGCATGAATAGAAAGAGAACGAAAAAATGAATGCGTCCTAGCATGACAAAGAGCGCACAACTTATTTATGATTAATGAAGTATAGTGATCAACAATGGACGCATGAGTACACGCTTGCCATTATACTGAGCATTTCGGATTTGTACCGCTTAAGATGCTCTTGATACATTTTCGCCACGTTACGCTGCAAATATATTTGCAAGCAATAATAGTAACTGGGGTTTAACGTCCCACAACTATGATATTATTCTGAGCGATATGGTAGTGGAGGGCTCCGGAAGCTTAGACCACCTGGGGCTCTTCAAAGCGTGCCTAGGTTTAGGTACACGTGCCTCACACATTTTCAATTTTATCGAAAATGCAGCCTCTGCGGCCGGGATTCGATACCGTGACCTTCTGATCAGCAGTCGACCACCAAAACCACCAGACGACCGTGGCGGGGTGGCTCACAACAGGAGTTAGTTTGTGTTCCCTAGGTGACTTTATCCAGTGCCGTTGCCAGTTTACTTTCAATGATCAAACTCATGAGGCGATTGCGTGGGTCACTGTGACTGGAGTCAGGTGTGCCCTTTGGGAAAGTTTGGCGATTCTTTCATCTTGCCGCTCTTAGCGCTCCGCCCAGCGCTTTCCGCTCTTCGTGTCATACTGCAACTTTACATGCCGTCATGACCGCACCGTGCTGAGTTGCGCAGACGAGGCGTCATATTTACACCATCTCTGAGCAGTTCGCAGGGCTTGTATATTCATTCTTTTACGCATGCGTGAACTGGTTGCCCGAAATGGTTGTCATTGTGTGCTTGTTTGCTGAAATCGTACCTCTAAAGCAGTCCAATAATTTAACTAAGAGGAACTTGCTTGTTCCCTTATTCATAGGTATCGGTGAAATATGAAAGTAAAACGTGTCCTAACGTAAGTGACTAAATGTTTACTTTTATTGATAATAGAGAGCTTGCGCAATGTCTATTGGTGTTTGACGGCCATACCACAGTTTAACTTGGAGGTACGGTGTTGACACTTATGGTGAATTACACTGGTAGATCCGGAGCAGCCACCGAAATCTTGGAGCGAGCACTCGGATTGAGCCAAGCCAGATCTGCGAATGGAACAGGTGAAATTCCCGCCTGAGGTCACGCCGGAAAATGTTTTCACATACGTCATTGAACCAGTACCAGAAGCTGTCTTGACATAGCCGATTAGCTTCAGCTATAATGCCGAGACTTTAGCTGCGCACACGGCGGGAAAGCACGGACGGCTCGTAGTCCTCGCTGCTGCTACTGCTCGCAGAAGTAGCGCAGTCACTCAAAGTGAGAAGTAAATTAGCAACAGCACGTCCACAAGCATCAAACAATGCCGTTTTAGTAATGTAAACAAGTGCGCAGGGCACCAATAAAAAAATTGGCAGCATATCCGCGAAGTGAATGATGGAGAGTGGGGCGAAGCATTTGTCCGTCCATTTGTTGTTGCTTCCGTCCATCCATGCGTGCGTCTGTGTGACCGTCCATGCGTCCATCCGCCCATCCATGCATGCGTCTGTTCGTGCGTCCGTCCCTGCGTTCGTGTATGCATCCGCCCCTGCGTCCGTTCATGCGTCCATCCATGCATCTGTCTGTGTGTCCGTTCGTCCATCTATTCAACACTGCAAGTACCACCATCTCGCATCTTTTCATGATATATTCCCCATATTGAAGCACTGCCATCCAGCGGACATTCCAACGACTAAACGAGAGATGGCACACGCATACTTTCTTACGGCTTGCGCTTCGGGTCTAGTTCCCACCTTTAAACACCTCGAGTTCATGGTATATACTAGTTCATTGTATTCACGGCACTGCGGCTCAACGCTCGCTAAACCTTTCTAAAACTAAGGAGGTTACGCCCAGCGAGTATAACGTAGCTACCCTTTCTTGTCAGATAGTGCTCAATGTATATGCCAATGGCTGCTAATGGGGATTGCAGCGTCCACGTTAACGAAAAGCCGAATGCTCCTGTCTCTCAATCCATAGTAGCAGCCATTGGCACGTACATTGAGCTCTAGTTTTTATTGTTCAGCAACGCACAAAAGAAATCTCTCACCGGCACCACCTTGGAGGTCAAAATGTGATATTTGTTACATACTACAACGCTACGAGGGACGAATGGGGGTCGTTATAAGAAGCTTCGCCCCTAAAAAAGAACGCTCAAGCGAGCTGAAGCCAACATCGCTGCCCGGCTGTACCCAAAATGACGGCAACGCATTCTCGAAGTTCCGCAGACATCCGTCTCTGCAAGGCGGAACATGCGGAACGCTTCGTCCCGGAGTGGGTTGTTCCGCATCTGCCAGTGAAACACGTGAACTTGCTCCTCACCACCAGCGGAATGCGGATTTTCGGCAGTGGAGAAAGAAAACTTGCTCCCACTGCACGAGTGAAATTCGTCATTAGCCATGCACCTCCATCCCGCAACTAACATTCGTCATAAATAAATTAAACAAACCCCTGGGGGTTCCGATACTTGTTGTAGTTGTAGAAATCGGTGACAGTACAACCAGAGAAAGCAATGTGACAGCCACGCAACATGACTGACTGGACGGCGACTTTGGGCTAAGTTTGACTATTCTCGACATCTTCGAGTTTTGAAGCCCACTGCGTGACCAGAGGGAAATGTAATACGCGGCACGTCTTTCTTTTGGCCGGTCACGATCGTTCGCTGGGTGAGCGCAAGTGCATAATGCAAAAGCCAGGCAAAGCAGCCGGGAGTTACAAAGCTAATTTTGGTGTTAATGAATTATATAAACGATGGCGACACTTGGGGTAAGGTCACCACCATGAATGTATGTTAATCCTCATTCACACAGCTGTCAAACGCCATATCTCGTCACCATCACAGCACCGGTTTTCGTTAGCTGCCATTTCTCTTCGAAAACGTAATGATTTTGACGTTCAGGGATGCTGTACGTTTCTGTTGCCGGTACGGAGATGGAACCTCGCCCTTCATTATATTAGAGCTGGTTTTCCTTCGCAGCACCTGCAAAACAGAGGAAAGCGGTGATAAACAGACCGAGTCACTGACACA